AGAGGGAGGGAGGGAGAGGGGAGATAGAGGGGAGGGAGGAAGAGAGACGGAGGGGGAGAGACAGTAAGAGAGGGGGAGGGATAGAGAGAGGGAGGAAGAGAGGGAGAGGGGGAGAGAGGGGGAGAGAGAGGGAGGGAGGGGGAGAGAGAGGGAGAGACGGAAGGGGAGGGAGCGAGAGGGAATTAAGAGAGAGGAAAAGAGAGAGAGAGAGAAAAACAAAAGGCGGATTGATCAGAGAAGGAAGACCAGCATTGAACTTGAATGGGCAGCTGTCATCCATGGATCAAGTTACCTGACTGACTACCAGGCTTGACTGTTGGGAATGGGTGGAGAAACAAGATGTGTAGAGAGAAAACACAGGCAGTCCTCAACTTCCAACAGTTCATTTAGTGACTGTTCAAAGCTTCAACGGCATTGAAAAAAAAAAGTGACTTAGGGCCGTTTTTTTAACCCTTTCGACCGCTGCCGCCTCCCCAGGGTCCCCTGATCAAAATCCAGGCGCTTGGCCACTGACTCGTATTTATGACCCCGAGTCATGGGATTCTCCTTTTGCCACCTTCCCACAAGCCGAGTCAATGGGGAAGCCAGGTTCACCGAACAACCGGGGTTACTAATTTATCCACTGCAGAAGATTCACTTCATCAACTGTGGCAGGAAAAGCAGTAAAAAAACGGGGCAACGCTCACTCAAGAAATGTCTCGCTGAACAACAGAAATGTTGGGCTCTATTGGGGTTGTAAGTCGAGGACTGCCTGTATACCAAGAGTCTGGCGACGCCACGCAGTCCGATTCCTTGAAGCGGGCGGTGGAAACCACTGAAATTTACCTCACGAGGCGGCTGTCCAACCTCTTCTTTAAAAAGAGATGGGAGGATTTACAACCTCTACAGACGAGACAGTTCCGATGTTGCACGGACTCGCCAGAAAGTTCATCCTTCTCTTTCGATCTAGTGGACATGAGCTGCAACTTATTTCTGCTATTTCAGATTCTAACAGAGGAATGATTGAGTCTGTCACCCGCACCTCTACAAATGTCTAGTTTGGTTCTGCAACCCAACAAGGCAGACGCAGACTTCAGAGAGTAATTAGGACTGCCGAAAAAACAGGCTTCCATCCTGCCTTCCATCGAGGACGTGTTTACGGCACGAGTCAAAAAGAAGGCTGTGAAAATATTTACAGACCCCCTCACATCCCGGACATAAACTGTTTCAACTCCTTCCCACAAAGCGAGGCTACAGAGCACTGCACACCGGAACCATTTAGTTTACTTTATTGTCATTGCACCTCGTGCAACAAAAGCAAACACCGTCTTCGGTGAACATCATGACCATGAAAATAAAACACAAAACACACATCCTTCACACTCCACACATTGAACCGGAAACCCCCGATACTGCAATAACACTGCACTGTACAGCAGAATTCAAAAGAGCTACTGCCCTGGGAGAGAAGCTGTTTTTCAGCCTATTTGTCCTTGTTTTTATTCTCCTGTACCGTCTGCCAGATGGTAATAGTTCAAAAAAAGGGTTCCCAGGATGAGATGGATCTTTGAGAATGTTTTGAACTTTCTTAGGGCAGCAGGAGCTATAAAGCTCTTCCAAAGAGGGGAGAGGGCAACCCGTGATCCTCTGGGCAATGACCTTAACCCTCTGGACTGCTCTCCTATTTCCAATTGGCAAACCATACAGAGGTGCAGTAAATTAAGATACTATCTATGGTGCAGCGGTAGAAGGTCACCAGCAGTTTTTCATTCGGTTGTTGTTTTCTGAGAAGCCTCAGGTAGTATAA